GCTCCCCCCGGGGTAGCTTTTTTCCGGAAAGCCGAGACTCTATCTTGCCACCTACTGGTGGGAGGCCAGATGTCTCGCCACCGAAAGAGGAGGTCTCTTAAGGACAAATTTCCTCCCTCCGCCTTTCTCGCCCTCTTACCTCCCATATTTGCCGAGCGCCTCTTACGCACCTGATTCTGCGCTAGGTTCTGGGAAAACCAAGATGAGCTAGAGAAGATCTCTACGTCCAAAGATAGTGAGAAGTGAGGCTACTTTTAAGTCCCATGTACAGACTATTATGTAATCAATAGACATTTTAATACATAGTTTTTAATTTGTTAAAGGGCACATGTGCTCACCAAAAGTGGGAGAGGGAGGATGCACCCCCTATGCGGCCGCGCTGGAATCCCTTCTCTGTTTCTCCAAACTATGGGAATTTTGAGCACACATGTACAGGCACCCTGTGGCTCGCACTGGCCTGATTCCAACTATGGTTGGTCTTGTGGTTGGTCGTGTGAGTTTGGGCTGCTTTAACCACTGGGCCAAGGGGTTTGCCCCATTGGGGTGTGCGTATATATATATATGTGTGTGTGTGTGTGAGTGTACTCACACACACACACACACATACACGTATCTCCTGTTTTTCTGTTTTGTTTTGTTTTGTAGAAGCTGCATGCACTTGCCAGAGAGAAAGGGAGAGGAGAAAGCACCCCCAATTCCCATGCCACCTCTCCTCCATCTCGATCTCCTTTAGGGATGTTGGGTGTGCACACATGTGCCCAGCTTGTTTCTCAGCTGTGGGGTCTGAGACTCAATCCACAGGATCAGCCAGAAACTTTACCCACGATACACACAGAGCTGGCCCAAGGGTTGGTCACCTTAATCATATTTAATGTTATTTTTTATTTTTTAGAGATGTTTTGCTGTAGGGTGTGTGTGCTCGCCAGAGAGGCAAAGAGAATCAGAAAGCAGGAAATCACTCCCCAGTGGGGATGGCCGTGCCTTCTCTTCCATTCTCCTCTTGGGATTTTGGGCTCATATGCTCTCACGCCTGGAGTGAGTCTCAAGCCTCCGGGTCCAGGACTCAAACTGCAATTGACTATGTGGGAGTCCAGCAATTTAACCATTATGCCATCTGCTAGCCCCTGTGTTATTTCTTAAACGAATTTTCTCCCTTCTTCCAGGTTCCTGCGGACTGCCCATGGTAAGAGTTAGGAAAAGCCAACGATGTTTTTTTTCCTACTTGCCTTTCTGTGCAGTGCTGAGGAGATGGGCTGAGGGACTGGGAGGGTAGAATTCCTGCTTGAACCCAGCACCCTGTCCCTTGCTTCCTGTACAGTGTATCTGGCACTTACCATAGAGCCTCAGAGAAGAGAGGGAACATCAGAGATCGTCTGGTTATCTAACCAAAATATAGATCTGATCATACTATTTTCCTGCTTCCAAACTGCCCTTGGCCTTTCTTTCTTTCTTTTTTTTTTTGGAGAGGTGTTTTTTTGTTTTGTTTTGTTTTTCACTTGTTTTTGCTATAGGGCATGTGCACTAACCAGACAGACAGACAGAGAGATGGAAAGTGATAAATCACCCCCCAGGCGGGGATGGCCACGCCGCAATCCCTTCTCTTCCATTCTCCTCTTGGGATCTTGGGCACACAGGCACACGGCCTACCATGAGTTTAAGTCACCAGGTCCAGTACTCGAACCATAGTCGACTACATGGGAGTCCAGCAACATAGTCATCACGCCAACTGCTGGTCCCAGGTGTGTCTCTGTCAAGACTGTCTGTGGACCCAATGATTCCTCAGCTGGAACTGCATGAACAGTTCTTCCTGGGCACCACTGAATCCCACTCCTCCATCTTGGAGATTTGTACAAGTCCCTCTGGCTCTGCGAGTTCCTGGTTCCTTTAGGCACAGTAGATCCCTCGTTCTTCCTGTCTTCTGTTCACACTTGGTGACAGCACTTAGCACATTGGGTAGGAATGACTAATTTGCTTGTCCGTCCCCCAGTAGATTGAGCATCTGAGAGACAGGTCTGCCCTAATTCAAGTGGGTGGGCCCTCTGCCACCTAACAGAGCATGGCGCTATATCTGGCACTTGGCAAATACTTGTTGAATGAATTAATTGAATCAGCATCCCAATCATTGTGCCAAGTCTCTGAGAGCATCACGCCTGTTCCTGAATCCCTCCTACCATAGGATCAAGGTCCTAACGCGTGAGGTTCTACTTTACAAGTCTCATCTCTGTCCTCAACTTCACCCTTCATCAGTCTGCAGAGGAGCAAGACAGACAAAAATGGCTGGCTCTTCTCAACTGGGAGGATAGGGACTCCTCTTTGTCACAAACTAGGGCATGATCCATAATAAAGGATGTTATAAGTGACTATTGGACAGGAGCAATTATACTGGAGGTGGGCGTTGGAGTGAGGGAAGGTGATGAGACAGTGAAAGGTTGGTTCTGAGGTTTTCACCGGGGAACCCTGAGAAAATCGTGGTGCATCTAACAGAAACGATGGAGGAGTTGATTTGGGAATGAGGGCTGCTCATGAGATTTCCAGCTAGAGAGGAGAGGAGAAATGGGTAGTTAGAGCTGCAGATCTCACTTAATCAAGATCACACAGACTGTTGTTAGTGGAGGCGGGAGAGGGGCTGGCCTCTTGCCGCCCAGGTCACTGTCCTGTTTGTTTTTATACCACAGTTTGTCAAAGGACTTGAAAGGGTCAAAGCACCCTTTTCAGTCTATTTCTCTCTCAGTTTCTATCTATGCACAAATGGCAGTCTAACAACAATAAAGGGAATCTGGAACGGGCTAAGTAAATCACAGACAGTACCTCCCCAAATACCCTAAACACATCATCTGTATTCATTTGTTCCTGTTCCTGTTCTCATTCTGATCAGTTTGTGTGCACGCATAGTTTTACATAATTTTACTCCTAGCATACAGACCATTTTGTATTCTGCTCTTTTATATTAGACACCCTTTGGCAGTTGCTGCATAATCTTCATAATTATTATTTTAACAGCTGCATCATATTCCATCGAGTGGATGTCCCATAATTAATACAAGTTCTCTATTGCTGGACATTTCATGCTCACTTCTTCTTTATTATGACTGTTGCTACAGTGAACAGTTCCTTCATGTAGCTTTTCCCTCCACTTGAATGATTTCCTTAGAATAAATTCATTCCTTCAACTAACATTTATTGAGTGCCTACTCTGTGTCAAGCTTTGTATTATGAACCAGGGAGACAGTGATGATTAAGATCTAGTTCCTGCTCTCAAGGAATCATGCCTAGATTATAATGGGAGAGGCAGGCCAGGGAGGTGGGGAGGGAAAGCTAGGAGAAAAGCTAGTGGTAAAGCAGGTTGAAACACAGATGACTGCTAAATCTTAAGGACCTCAGACTTTACCTTTGTAGGTAGATGATGGGGAGCCACTGAGAGATTTGGAGGAGGACAGGACCAGCTTTGTGCTTTAGAAAGATGTTCCTGGTTACTTTTTTTTTTTAGAGGTTTTTGCTATGGGGCGCGTGCGCTCACCAGACAGACAGAGAGACAGTAAGCGAGAAATCACCCCCCAGGGAGGATGGCCATGCCACAATCCCTTCTCCTCCGTCCTCCTCTCAGGATCTTGGGTATGCACGCACATGCGCCCGGCATGAGTTTAAGCCACTGGGTCTGGGATTCGAACCGCGGTCAACTACGTGGGAGTCCAGCGACATAGCCATTACGCTAACTGCTGGTCCCAATAACCCCGGTTACTTTCTGTAGAATGATTTGAAGTAAGTGTGAGTGACTTGGAGGAGACAGGTCAGGGCTGTTTCAATAATACGGTCCAGCTCTGTGGCACAGTGCTAATGCGCTGCTCAAGGGAAGCAGACTTCCACTTGGCTACCTTGGTTTGAATCCCTGGCTCAGTCAGCCTGAGACACGTTGGGCACGAGTGTGAGTGCCCAAGATCTGATGAACTGCAAGACTGTAGGAAGGGGATCACGATGTGACGGACCCTGTGAAGGGTGTTCCTCTCTCTCGCTCTCATGTGCACACACGTACACTGTACCATGGATAAAGAAAAAAAGAAGAAACAGATGGGCAAGGACGGGCAGTGGCATAGTGGTAAGACATGACACTCTATGAGGCTGCTCCACATGGGAAACTTCCAGATTTGTGTTCCAGAGACCTCCCTGAGTAAGCCAGCCGCATACATGCTCATGATCTGGGGTTGGTTGAGGCTGGGGGTAAACCATGGGGTCATGACCCTGTTGAGAGTGCTGTTTCTGTTTCTCTCTCTGTCCCTCTCTCCGTCTCTGTTGCTCATGGAAGAAATGAATACATACGCTTGGAAAAAAAGAAAAAAACAAAAACAAAAAAACAACAGGAAGCCAAGACACAGATATGTGACAGTGGGGCTGGGAAGGAGGGGGCAGATTCCAAAGA